TATACCTACACGGAGGTACTGAATAGGTACACTATAATTACAAAAAAGTTACACTGTAACTTCAGTTTACTTGCGCAGTTCTTTGCAGGTTGCATATCTGGTTGTTACCCCCTTATTACCCAAACGTAACACATTGTTTCCTTACAGCTTTATAGGTACACTATAATTACAGAAACGTACATCGTAAATTCAATATACTTACGTAGTTCTTTGCGGGTTGTAATCTAAAGCGTTACCGAAAAGTGTGGCGTTTAAGTCGTAAAATAAAACAAAGATTATTGGAGGAGTCTTTAGAAGAAAATACTATTTCAGTCTTTTAAAATTTTGTTTACTTCAGCGTGTTATTTGTCATTTCTTTGTAGTTATTTATGCAATTTACTTGCAAATTCTGAGTGAAAATAATGTCTACACTATTTTTTTTCAGTGTACGCCACCAGAGAGAAGTATTGTTTCACCAGAAGATTAAATTATGACATATTGATTAAAAATAAAAAAAAAATAAAAAAAAAGACAGACTGATTACATGAATTTAGAAAATTTAGGCCCGGTTTCACAAGGCCTTAGTTAAATTAAGATATTTAAGCAACTTTTACAAAAATGCCTTAGAAGAAAACATTACAGGTGTGCATCTTGACACAGAACAATGATACTGACATATTTTAAGATATGTCAGAGCAAGATATTTTCAGTTGAGACAGCTCAAACAGGCATTTTAGTCTGGGACTAGCTTAAGCCTTGTCTGTGAAACCGGGGGATAGTGCATTTTCATTTTATGCTGACTTCAGTTAAAATAAAATTTAAATGATCACAAATTATTTTTTTACTCTTAGATTATGTATTACTGAATATAAAGATTTCAAATTTTATAACACACTTCATTAACATGAAAATGGAATGCTGTGATTTAAATAACATCTAAATATAAACTAAACTATAAAAAAACTAAAACAAACAATCACTAATATCAGCTAATTTGAAAGGACTCAAAATAAACATGAAAGAAAACAAAAATCTAAATTCAAAACTACAGTAATATACTAATGGCTCCAGAGTCTTTCGTTAAATGGCATTTCTGACTCAGGTTATGAACTTAATAAAACCTTTATCTCGAAACTAAGCAAACATGGCAGCAAGATATAAATGACAGTACAAACATATAGCTTTTATAGCGCTTACAGATAAAGCCCACTCTTCATCTTTGATCTGGAGCTGGGCCTGCATTAACCTCATCTTTTAGACAGTCAGTTAATGATGGAAAAGTTACTTGCATGCATCATCTTTCACTCACCAATCTCTTGGTTGGAACGGGTCTTTGAGATGGCATATGTGTGTATATGTGTGTATGTGCTATTGTGTGAATTTGCCCCCAGCACTGCCTTGTTCCATCTCTCGCTCTCCGTCTCTCCACGTGTGTGGGCAGTGTGGGTTAATTGAGCAGCTCTTGAGTTGATAGCACTAGCGCTGTGGGCGCCGTATACGCTGTGCGAGCTTTGGTTGGCAGCCAGACTCAGGAACTTAGACGACTGCGCGTGAGTGGAGAGTTGTTAACTCTTATTGACTCACTGATTCAGTATTCACAATCACAATTTAAGTACAATGGAATTGACACTGTCTGTCTAGTCTGGAAAAAAAACTATGTGTAGTGCTCTCATCTTTCATTCATGGAATAAGTGTGGGTTTTCAACATGAATGGCTTGATTGTTGAAACACACTCTCTCTCTTTCTTTCTGTACCTGACGTTGTCATGTCGTTGGATGTATATCTTATGGAAGATTCTTTCTGGTGGCCATTTTTTGATCATTTTCATGGCTCCCATAATATTTTGCTGTATTAATATCTGAACAACCAATGTCAACAGAAAATACAAAAAAAAATTAAAAAAACTTTTTTTTCTAGCTTAAAGGGATAGTTCACCCAAAAATTAAAATGATGTAATTAATTATTCACACACAAATTAAGATATTTTTGATGAAATCCAAGAGCTTTCTGACCCTCCATAGACAGCAACGCAACTACCATGTTCAAGGCCCAGAAAGGTAGTAAGGACATCGTTAAAATAGTCCACGTGACATCAGTGGTTCAACCTTTATCTTATGAAGCTACGAGAATACTTTTTGTGTGCAAAGAAATCAAAAATAACTTTATTCAACGATTTCTCTTCTGTAAGTTGCTTCTCAATCTCAGATTTCATCAAAAATATCTTAGTTTGAGTTCCGAAGATGAACGGAGGTCTTACGGGTTTGAAACAGTATGAGGGTGAGTTAATGACAGAATTTTCATTTTTGGGTGAACTATCCCTTTAACGCATTTGGTAAGTTGTAAGTAAGTTTCATTAAAAAACGAAATTAGCATTTTTCAGACTAAGTCCGAAAGGGATTCAGAGCAAACATCAAAGCATAGATGGAGTAGATCGCTTCCAGAAACACCTCCAAAGCTTACACAATCCTACACCACTTACTGGGTCAACATTTCATTTGGTAACGCTGGGAAGTTTTATATGCTGTTTAACATTTAATCACGTTATTTTATGTATGCATTTGCTTACATAGGCAATCGCTTGTTTCTGCTTCTTCTTCATCTGTGTTTTGATCCGGAGATTCAGTACTCTTTCAGAAGATATCTAATAGCTCCCCCTACTGTATAACCATATTCCGTCAATGGTGGGGAAAGAGTTAAATTGAACTAAAGAATAAACTAATAAATTATTCTAGTACTCTGCAGAATTAATTTACTCATTCTTTAACATTACTATTTCCACATAATTTAAAACAATATAAAGTCGTTAAAAATATGGGTCACAATTTTTTTTTTATACACAATTTTTATATTTATATAATTTATATTTAAAGGTCCTATTCTCGCTATTAACAAACCATTAACTATGATTTTTGTCATAACAAACTCTTAATTTTCTGCTTATAAATAGTTAGGGTAGTTGTTAAGTGTAGGTATTGGGTAGGATTAGGGATGTAGAATATGGTCATGCAGAATATGTTGTTTTATAAGTACTAATAAACAGCCGATATGTTAATAATAGGCATGCTAATAATAAGCAGTTAATAGTGAGAATTGGTCCCTATATTAAAGTGTTACCAAACTATGAAATAACACAAATGGGATTAGGAGAATTCTGCAGTGAACAAAAATGACCAACAAATCAACTCTCTCTCATATTTTAGATTAAGACAAATCAGAAAACTGTTGTTTATGTAAACATGCAAATATGTAATTTATGTTACATAACAAATGTGAAAGTCTCTTTAAGTAATGTTCACCACAGACATGGACATTTCCAAGGGAAGCCATGGCCTTCCAGTTGGTCTTCAAATTGATGTCACGACTGAACAGCTCCATAAAAAACCCATTCAAAGGATTGTGATGGCCATTGTAGCATGGTTACTGTTAGTTTAAAACCGGCCACTTCTGTTATCTGTATGGGTTTTATCTAATTAACTCGCTGATAGCTGTAAAAGTGGCCAAATCTCTGTGAGAGATCACAGTTCTGAGCGTTGGAGTTGGTTGGCATGGCAAAGGTAAGTTTCCGTGGAAACGCATATAGTTCATTGCCAAACCATGCGTTACTAAAAGCAGGTGATAAATGCCTTCTCGATGAGCAAATCCTAGCGAGCCATGCCACCTGTTTTAGAAACCCAACGGGTTGCTTTGTCACTCGCCTGCACTCAAAAGTTGAGCTGAGAGTTGGGTTGAGAGTTTGTAGCAGCATGACTATAATTGTCTAAGAACTTTGAAAATTAAAATCATTAGCGTCTGTTTCATATACATTCAATGTTTTTTCTTTGTTGACCAAATCATAGTTATATGGAACTGGATATCTATGTGATATCTATATTTGTTGCTAAAGAAACAATTATTTTTATCACTGTTGTGAAAATTTGGGGGAAACTAGATACACTTTTTATAAATATATACATGTAAATACATGTAAATATTTTCAATATATATACTGTATGTGTGTGTATTTATATATACATAATAAGAAAAATGGGGGCAAAAACAAAAGTGTTGCGTTTATAATTTTGTTCAGAGTATATACACACACACACACACACAGTGGTGGCCAAAATTATTAGAACACCTGACAGATCTGAAAATATTAACCTTTTTTTGCCTCCAAAACATGATTTCATTTCATAATGTTCATGAAACATGCAGATGGTTGCTCTAAGCACAACAAATATCAGATGAAGTGAGTCGTACTGTTTTTATCCACTTTTAACTTTAATATTGGGTATGGCCACCTTTTGCAGCAAATACAGCAGCACGTCTCTCTGGCATAGTGTCAATATATTTCCTGAGAACTAATGTTATCCAATGCCTTCTGAAACTCAAGCAAAAGGCTTTCCTTTGAATGTACAATAGATCTGTCCAGTTTGTTTTCCAACTTGCCCCAAATTTGCTTGATGGGGTTGAGGTCCAGACTTTGAGGAGGCCAGTGCATCATTTTCAATGTTCCAAGCAGATTCCTTCCATCGCAGGTAGTTCCAGTAATAGTACGTTTTATGGGTATTGTAATGGCCAATTCAACAAAAAAAACTGAAACCTCTTAAATATGCCGTGTTCATATTTTGGCCACCACTGTATATTATTAGAATTAGTTGTAGTAATAGTAGTATTAGCTTTACTATTATTATAAATAATACCTACTATTATTCAAAGCACAAAAAAAAAGTTATAGAGGTTGAAACAAAACATCGAGTCTCTCTGGCCTCCCCTTTTCCATTTAAAATTTCCATTTAATCAAAACTTTTTTTTTACTCAAATATTCTCCCTCCTTGTGATTTAATTCATCTTTGCGAGAAACTCTCAAACTTTTGAAATCAATACATGAGCCATTCTTGCTGAATGTGCACTTTAGTGCACATAAATGACAGATCATCTGTATGTCCAAATGGAAAGATGACAGACCGGTCCATATCTCTGCAGCGAGTGCACATGTGTGTGTGAGAGTTTGTGTGTCAGAGAGAGAGTTGTGTGGTACAGCTTGGTGTGATGTATAGAGTGGGTGGTGTTACCTTCTATTCAGGGAGTTTGTTGGGTAGGAGGTGGATGAGTCATGTGCAAACAATTATAACCAATTTTCAGTCGCTAAGGAACAAGGGGAAAGTGTCCTCTCCGCTTTAGTTTGTATGAGTGTGTTTTGCATCTTTCCGTCTTATGCCCCTCTCCACTTCATTTATAAATCATTCAGTAATTATCCACTGCAATCTACCCGGAGCTCGGCGAGGAAGATAAGTTATGCTAATGTTGCTATTTGATTCACATTCTTTATCATTGATATAATCCACAATGACAGCGAAAGATGAAGCAGTCTCACTGAGAAATAAAGTGGGATGGTGGATCTGGCTTGTTCCGGTAGCTTGTGCCGCTGCAAAAGAATCTTTGAATAAGTGCACCACAATCTGCTGTGTGTGCATTTTTTTTCCAGAAATATCCATCCCACAAATACGCCAACAGGTATGACAAAGAGTTTGCTCTAAGTATAGAAAGTCCTGTTTCATTCAGGATTGGGCTTATACAGTAGAGGTGCTGCTGTGTATCTAGACGGAGACATGGAAGTTGTTTAATATATTCAGGCTTTGGCTTAACTGTTTGTTATGCTGCCCTAAAATTTATGCTGCCAGAAAAACAAATACCGTTTTTTTTTTTTTTTTACAATTTTATTAATTAACCTTTTTTAGATGGCTGCATTATTTCAAAAAGGGGGGGAGGAAAGGAAAGAAATAAGAAAAAAAAACATTTGTTTTGACTTTAAAATCAAAATGAATTTCATTCACAACTCATTTTACTGTAGAACAAATTTCCAAAAACTTAAATGTGGGGTGGGAATTGAATCAAATTGGTTTTTAAAAAATTTCATTTTTAACTGAGATAGCAAGAACAAATTGGAATTTACACTAAAATTGAATGAAGTAGAATTAAATATCAATACACACTTTAAATGTCAGTGTGACAGCCTTGTTTGAAAGTTGTTAGTTTTTTTAAACTCTACCGTTAAAATGTTTGGGGTCTGTAAGATTTTTTATGGTCTCATATGCTCAACAAAGCTGCATTTATTTTAATAAAAACATAGTAAAAACAGTAATATTGTAAAATATTATTACAATTTTAAATAAATATTTTCTAATATACAGTAATTCAAAGTGCATGTTTTTCTTTTATGTAAGGCAGTGTCATATGATCCTTCAGAAATCATTCTAATATGCTGAATTGCTGCTCAAGAAACATTTATTATCAACGTTGAAAACAGTTGTGCTACTCAATCATTTTGTGGTATAGAAAGTTCAAAAACATTTATTTGATTTTTTTTTTGTATCAATGTCTTTGCTGTCACCTTTGATCAATTTAATGCATCCTTGCTGAATAAAGTATTAAAAAATTAATTTCTTAAAAAAAAAAATTATTGACCCCAAATTTTGCACTGTACAGTAGGTCTTTTAGACCAGACAAAAGTACACTTGATTTCCAGAAAGCCATTACCTGTTTAATTACAATTCGTTGATTTCCAGTTCCTGTCATTCCAATTTAAATTCCAATTCAACTTTGAGTCAAGCTGTATTTTTCTTTTGCAAAAACATGTACTGCTAAATTATACACAATAAAGCATACATTAAGAAACTAAAAAGGATCTATAATGATTTCACGTTGACTCAGAAGTTTACATTTGCAGCTAGTAAGCCGAATAAAAAATGCTAAGCCATTACTCAGTAGCATCGAGAGCCTGTTCTGAGGGGCTTTTGGTGGGCTGTAATGGCATTAAAGTTGCATACAGCCTGAATACCAACTAAGTCAAGCACCTGACCTTAGACCCGATCTCACAGCTGTTTTGTGTGTCTTAGCATACATGCATCTGTGTGTGAGTGTGTGTGGTAGTGGGGGGGGGGCGGGGTGAAAGCAATCTTGCAAGGTGTAAATTACCTGTCAAAACTGCAACTTTAACTTGTGGGAGAAAATGAAACAGCTGATAATTTTATCGAAAACATGCAGCTGTTTGTTTGTGTGTATGCCAGCTCACATGTCGTGAAAGTCTGACCTGCTTCTCGTTCTCGTCCTCTAGTTGCAGGCGCTGTTGGATGCAGTTTCTGGCCTGTAGGAAGGCCTTCCTCTGGACGCGCTCAGTAAGGACTCTCACAAACACACCAGACAGATTCACGCCGACCAGCAACACTGCATTTGCTACCAGCTACAAACACAGAGAGAGAAAAATAACAGGGTTTGTGTGACTATCTCTGTTTATCAGACCATGCTGAAGGATTCTGACATTTAAACAACATTCGGCGACTGAATACGAACTTTCAGTGATTAGGAGTGGCGTACTGGTGGGTGGGTGGGTGTGTGTGTGTGTGTGTGTGAACGAGAGTGAAAAATGGGGGCAAAGAGCGAAACTAGCTTGAAGGAGAGACGGAAACAGATGCCGAGAACGGTGCCAGCAGGTTAATTTATTTCAATCCATCCTGAGATGATAAACTCGAGCGTGAAGACGGACACAAACCCCGCACGCTAGATAGCCTGAGAATCTCTACGGATTAGCTTCTGTGACCGAAAGAATCAGCAATTGCCTGGCTTTTGAGACACGTCACTTCAAACGGGCGCCTATTAAGGGCTTTGTATTTTTCATTTATAGAGCAACAGAAAATTTGATTACCCAAAATCCCTTCAATTAGTCTATGGATTCTTTTAACAGGCCCTTTATAAATGAAAGTGAAGGCTATTTGCTAAATAGCACAAAGCAGTGACATTATTACACAACCTTAGCAAGGTTATGAGGTTTACAAATTAGCTAACAAGGCTAATAAGCAATTTCTGCCATGGAATGAAAAAAAAAGGTAATTGTGAATTTTATATATCATAATTCAGACTTTTTTTTCACAATTCTGAGAAAAAAAGAAATATGAGATGAAATATGAAAAATATAAACTCAGAATTTGAACTTTCTTTCTTTTTTTTCCCTAAGAAATCTGAGCTTACATTTCGCAATTCAGGCCCTGTTTCCACTAGTGTGTTTTTGTTTTAAAATTTAAAAAAATGTCAAATGAAAATGATCCTCGTCTACACTGGCGTTTTCACTGCTTTTCAGAAACTATCTCCATCCACACTACACAACCGAAAACGCATGTCACATGACCATTCGTGCCAATAAAACAATGAGCATGGTGTTATTGTTTACACGGTCGTCAAGGATATGCTAAGCGAATGTGGGCAGCAACGCCATCGGTTTCAAAATTCTCCGTTTTGGTTTTGCGATTCTGTGTTTTAAAAAGAAAACGCACTAGTGTAAACGTTCCCTCAGTGCTGTTGTTGTTGTTTTAAAAAAAGGTAATTGCAAATATTTTATCTCACAATCCTGACAATTGCACATTTATATCTTAAAATGCAGATATTTCTTCTCAAAATTGAGAATTCTGAGTTTATACCTCGACATTCTGCAATTATATCTTGCAATTCTGAGTTTATCTCACAATTCAGACTTTTTTCCTTGCAATTCTGAGAAAAGGGAATTCAGAGATATAAAACATGCAATTTTGACTTTTTCTATAATAATTGCGAGTTTTAGAAGTCTGAATTTCAAGATATAAACACAGAATTCCAACTTTCTCACATTTTATTTCTCAGAATTCTGAGTTTACATCTTGCAATTCAGTTTTTTTGTTGTTGTTTCTGCTACAGAATAAAAAATAGAAAAGGTAATGGTGACTTTTTATCTCACAATTCTGACTTTTTTCATAACTGCAAGTTTATATCTCACAATTCAGACTTTTATTCTCAGAATTGTGTGTTTATATCTTACAGTTCTGAGATTATATCTCACAATTCTGAGTTTATATCTCACATTTCTGCATTTATATCATGCAATTCTGAGTTTATATCTCACAATTTTGTTTATATCTTGCAGTTCTGAGTTTATATCTCAGTTTTGTTTATATCTTGCAATTCTGAGATTATATCTCACATTTCTGCATTTATATCTTGCAATTCTGAGTTTATATCTCACAATTTTGTTTATATCTTGCAATTCTGAGTTTATACTGTATATCACATTTTTTTTGTGAATTGAACTCAGAATTGCAAGATATAAACAAAATTGTCATTTCTGCATTTATATCTTGCAATTCTGAGTTTATATCTGACAATTTTGTTTATATCTTGCAATTCTGAATTTATATCTCACATTTCTGCATTTATTTCTTGCAATTATTAGTTTATATCTCACATTTCTGCATTTATATCTTGCAATTCTGAGTTTATATCTCACATTTCTGCATTTATATCTTGCAATTCTGAGTTTATATCTCACAATTCTGTGTTTATTATACCTCTAAATTCTGAGTTTAGGGCCTATATCCTGACCTATAGGACCTTTATACAATTCTGTTTTGCAATTCTGAATTTATATCTGACAATTTTGTTTATATCTTGCAATTCTGAGTTTATATCTCACATTTTCTGCTTTTATATCTTGCAATTCTGAATTTATATCTTAAAATTCTGTTTATACGTCACAATTCTGAATTTATATCTCACAATTTTAAGTTTATATCTCACAATTCTCCTCAGTATTGTGAAAAAAAAAGTCAGAACTGTGAGCTAAAAAGTTACACAATTACCTTTTTTATTTATTTATTTTTTATCCAGTGGTGGAAACAATCTTCCATAGTGGCCAGTTTGATAATTGGTTTTGGCTATTGATTGGTTATCATTGATCAAGGATTTAAAGTCATGTGATTGTCTTATAGACAGCTGACCGTCCTGTATATTAATGCATGATGTCCATCAAGGTTACGCTGTGACAGTCTGAGTGAGAGGTTGTGAATAAAAACCTCATTAACTCAGCATGTGAACAGTGACACTTGTGTCTAGATGTGAAGTGCTCTTGAAGTTTGGAGAGCAATAATGAAATACCGTATATGCTGTGTGCTGTGCGATGCTGCTGTTTTAATGTGAAGTGGCATGCTGATATTTTTAGATCAGGTGTTTTTAATGAGTTTATGTTGATCCTCTTTGCTTAAGGTCTTTGGAGAGTTTTGATTGGATTTTAGGCACTCTACCGGTCTTTTCGATGAAATCATGGCTTAGTAGGTCACCAAATCTAGTCCCTGTTCTCACAGGTTTGGTTTTTGATGACGGAAGCTGCAATTCCTGTGTGAGCGGTTGTCACAAACATCATTTCGCATCCAGCAAGGATGTAGCGAGACATGTGAAACTGTCACGGCGTTCGGTAAATCAGAGGCGTAGAGGTTACAAGCTGAACTGTCATTTTGTCAGTCTGCCAGATTAAATGAAAGGTCAGTGCATACAAATACTCTCCATATTAAGATTAATATCTTGCTCTGTTTACAGCCTCACTCCTTTCATTTGATCTTTCTTGTTCTGTTTAGATTTACACTGTTTAATGTTTTAGAGACACCATTGATGTATGTATAACAATAACAGTAGTGATATTGAAATTAGCCTCTTATTTTCATGTCAATTTCTTTAATTATGTTTCTCTAACCTAATCAAAACTCACTTCTGTTAGTGGAGCCTTATCCCTCTGTGACTGGTATCTATTTCAGAAATGTTGTTTCTGTTTTGAATCAATTTGACCTCAGCAAAAGCACATAGCAAACATAAACAGCTGGCAGAAGAGTTTCAAAAATTGAGATTCTGTCATTATTTACTCTCTCGTGTTATTTTAAACCTGTATCACTTTATTTGTTCTGTGGAACACAAAAGAATATACAATATTTTGAAGAATGTAGATCGAACAGACATTTTCAAAAAAAATATTTTATCTTCCATTTGATCTTTTCTTATTTATTTGTGTCTGAAACATACTGAACTGTATAAAACAGTTGTGCTGTAGTACTGAATATCAGACCTGCAGCCTTGTGTTTATGGCCAAAGCTGTGCTGACATTTAGCACAACAGCACTCTTGCACATGTGATTCTGCTTAATTGTATCACTATTATGCTGGCTGGAAGAAAATTAATTTAAGGGGAAAAGGAATATAGTCCCAGTTAGAGGAAAACTTTAAATGAAAACAATTTACAGCTTTATCACTGAAGCTTTATTTATCCTGAATATAATTTTTTTGTACACATCTTCATAAATCTCCAACTGGCCAAGCATGTAATAAATAAATAAATAAATAATTCAAAGGTTATTCCACTATTGGGTATTAGAGTCATTTGTTGTGTCAGGACAGAAAATAAAATAGCATGTCATCTCACAGTAAAATTCTGACTGCTAAAGCTGAAGATAAAACACATTTTTAGTTTATAGTATTATTACGCTAACTTTGGCACAGAAGCTGTGCAAGCTATTGAAACATCCAAATCATTTCAGTCTGATATTCTTAATAAAATTAAATCGATTTTTTTTTTTTATCAATGTTGGAAGTGATTCAAAATTGGCATTTAAAATGTACACAATTCAGATAATTCTTTAATTTTATGTTGGCTAAACTACAATAATTAAGTTGTAAACGTACACATATTTTTGAATTAACCACTAACTGACTTTCTGTTTGAATTTTGTGGTTTCTTTTTCATAAAATACGTTCTGATGGGTTTCTGACTGACTGCTCTCTCTAGGAGCTGTCCATCCTCAGTGGTGCTGAAGTTAGACTGGCCTTTGCGCGCTTTTCACGGCACCTGTGTGCACGTGCAGTGCGTGCGCCCACAGCCCTCATGCTCCACCGAGCGCGCTAATCGCTAGTGCATCACCCTATATGACACGCCAAAAGCAATAAATGCGATTTTTTTTTAGGGATGGAACGTGCAATGACACAACTTACCGGTGTCCACACGCGAGGTCTACGCGCCGTTACCGATGTCGCCGTCACGATGAAATGAGACGCAGCTACAAGGATGCCGAACAAAACCACCAAGAGCGTCCTGACCGGTAGCAGAGAGTAGGCAACGAACGTAACGAGCATCAGCTGCCAGACACCTTGCTCAGGTGTTGCGCTCGGTGCGTCAGGCCCCTGCGCGCCCTGCGTCCCGTGACCCAGCACGAGAGGAAACGGGCAACAGAGCAACGCGAACGTGAAGCTGAAAAGCAGCGCGAGCCGCGCGATCTGCTGCAGCTGCGTGACCTGCAGATATTTGACGTTGGTGACGATGAAGAGTGAGGTGAAGATGACGCAGTGGACCGGGTGCGAGCCCTTGGACACGGTGAAGCGCGAGCCGGCGGAGAGCAGCTCCACGAGCGCCAGCGCGGACGCGGCGAGAATGAGGATGGCCAGCGCTTTGAGCGTCGCGGTCTGCTCGAGCTTCAGGTTGTACTTCTGGAAGAGAGTCTCGAGCTCCTTGCAGTCAAACTCGCGCTCGCACGCGCCGGCCAGGCAGCGACTTTTCCTCCGCCGCGTGCGGACTCTGGGAAACGGGACTTCGTCCATAGCGGTGCCATTCATACAGCCAGAGCTCTTCTTCACAAGTAGCGCATGTCTGGCACTTGTGGTCGCGGTCCTGGCGGCAACCGTCGCGCCTCGAGACGGGCTCGCGAGCACTGACCCCAGCGCGAGACTGTCTCTAATCCGCAGCACGCGCCGCCACCATCCACAGGTTGGTGACTGTTGTAACGAGCGCCTCCTCTTTTCTCTCCCTCGCTCTCTCTCCTCCCTCCTCAAGGCGGTCTCCAGGGAACAGACCACCCGCTGCGTTTGCTCGGCCCCAGAAAGAGGTTAACATCAACCGCGCAGAGTCAGGACTCCCCTCTCCGCATCCCACAGCTGCATCTAGGCGCCGCGGCCGGATCACGCATGCGCAATGTCAGCGCGAGATTGAGAACCCAGGCACGTCTCCCAGTCCTCAAAAAAAGATAAGACAAGACAGCAGCGCAGCTCTGACAAGGCTCGTCTTAAATGGGAAAACGGCGAGCAGTAGGGCAGCCTCCGTGTTTATTAAACGAGCGAACGATGTTTTCCTTTCGACTCGCTAAAACCGAAATAACCCAGGAGAGTCTCCCCGCCGTGCGTCTATAAATAGCGCACTGATCAGTGGCCTTTTAATTAAGCACTTTAATTCCAGCTCGAGCCTTTGTTTGGAGTGCCGTTACCGATCCGGCGGCGGAGCAGGTGTTGCGGATTACAGATCGCATTCATCTTTTATTCTCGCGCATCTGCGGCTAAATTTATTACCGCCGGGTGCCTAAGCGGATTTTTACGTTGGGACAATGGGGTTGAGGAGGTGTGCCCGCTCCTCCATTCATGATGAGCTTCTTGTGTTCACATGGCTGCTGTTAAATGGCCCGTCAAGAGAGCGCTCGAGTCCTGCTCGGACCCTAAACCCAGAATAGAAGCAGACTTTGGGCGTTGTTAGGGCCCCTGACAACTTTCAAAACACATAAACATAAAGTTATTGCTATTTAGTTCGTTTCATTTATCTCATTGCTAGGATTGGTCACACCAAAAACAATAAATTTCCCAATAAAGAAAATTGTGCGTTCACGCCACAGCTAATAACAATACAGAAAAGTGATATGAAACACTTTCAGAGAGATTTTTTTCAGGCTGATGGAAGATTAACACATTGCCAGCCAGTCTAAATACATCCAACTTGAAAGTGTGCACTGTTAATATAATTATAACGTTATCTCCCATTGGTGTGGATGTTCCATTTCTCGCTTCTCAGGAGAAACCCTACTCCGAGTTCACACTATAAATTTGTTAAATTTGATGTGAAATCACATTTGAACTATTTCCATAGAGTTTTACACATATTATAAACACATATTTTTGACAAATTTGCACTTCACTTACATTCACTATCTCTATCATTGTTTTTTTCAATACTTTTGTATTTTTGTGTATTTTACAATTTTATATATATATATATACACACACACGCACACACACACACATACATACATACATACATACAGAATTTATGTGTTTAAATGCACAAACATATACCGATACCGATTATGGCCCAACACATAAGATCATGTAAACAGCTTAAACAGTGTCCAAGTGGTTCAAAACTGAAGAAAAGTTTCACAAATTCAAAATCACAGGAACGTGGTTTGATTTGTATGATCAGATTTCCAAAAGGTCAGTTAAATCATGCGAAAAGTCAGTGGTTCTGCTGTCTATTCAGGGCCCTTAAATGTGTCCCGAAGCATCAGAATCCCCTGAAGCAGACAAATAACCCAATCATCTTGTTTTAGTAGCTCAGGATCAGTAGGCATCAAAAAGACATCATTCAATCAAACCGTGACACCAAAGAGGAGGTTAGATGCGTTAAAATACTGAATTGTGTGTGGGTTGTGTGGCAAGGGAGCATGCTTGTATTATTTATGAGCGCTTGATTAAACACGACTGCAGCTTGTGCTATAGTGAGTATGATCTGTAACTGTATATCCATTTGGCTGCTCCCCAGATTTATTGTGAAGAAGCTGTTTATGCTCAGTAAATACACTTCAGATAAGCCGAGCTGGCACTCAACAGAACGGTAACTGTCATAACTATCACAATACATAACCGTTAGCACCTCTGAGGGATCCATGAATCTCATAAATGCGATAATTAAAGGCTGACATCAAATTAAGCTTTCGAGAGACTTGCAAGTGAAGTACTCTTACAATTTATGACATGAGGCCTCCTTCATTGGCATTGATTTGCAGACTGACAGGGTGGTTAGAAGTTATTTTAGTCACTTCCTCAAAACCGCTTTCAGTTCTTGTGTATTTTTGGAGCATCTTGCTTGTATGGCCTGCTTTTGATCGCACAGCATGCAGCAGATGCCCTTGATGACTGCTAGAGTTGTCCCAGCGTTTATCCTCATGAAAATTCTGTCAACATGAATTAAATCTAAACTCCTACTGTGCCTTTTCAGTTTATCAGGTATCGCTGATTTATTCATCTAATCTATTTTAGACTGCTTTCATTTACTGTTGCAAAAACATATTCACTATCTCTCAGTTTATTTTCACCAGACTACTTTTAAACTTGTTAATTTAATGGAATCTATATATTGATCTGCGCTTGTGATTGATTTATTTTGTTCACTATAATGCACCTTTTACGCTTGTGTATTTTTTGTTTGCTCGAGGAGTTTGAATGATTGATTTTTCGAAAGTTTTATTGATCCTCTGTCCATGTCTCACACAGATTCATCTGATGAAAAATATTTCCAACTAAATCTGAATAGTGCAATTAAGGTGAACCTACAGCAGGAACCTGCGTTTTAATTTTCAAAGCACTCTCTAACGTACAATGAAATTAACATAAAACATGCATATGATAAAATAGCTATTAATTGGGGGCAACAGGTCAGGCACATTTGGCTCTTTCTGTTTTTTTATCCATTGATTTACTCATCAATCCAGGTTTGTTGACATGGGGGGATAATCGGAAACATTGTCTTGAGGGGGGTCCAAAAACATGGTTTTACATAAGGGGTCCAGCCTTACAATTGTAATTATTCTGGGGCCTGTGAATTAAAGCGACTGTGTCAGACACTGTAAAATATTTTGCATGTATCTAAAACAGAACTAGGTTTCACAATGTTGTTGCAAATTATATTTTAAAATATATTAAAATATACAACATTTAAAATTGTAAGGATATTTCGCAATATTACTGTTTTTACTGTATTTTTAATCAAATAAATGCAGCCTTGGCAAGCATAAAATATATATATTTAAAATCTTTCAAAAAACATAATTAAAACATTAAAATATCTTACCAACTCCAAGCTTTTGTAATTTTATAGTTGTACTTTAGTAATGTAATGTTATTTCAGGTTATCAGAACAGTAGTTTTTGTTGATACATGTTTAAATTACTGACATTTTTGAATATTTCAATTTGCATTTTTTATCATGTGACATGCTAATTTTGTAAAATTAGGATGTGCTCTTGTCAAAAGGCAAAAATTATGATTTGTGAACACTGCTCTCAATGTGGCTTGACTGAATGCAGATTGCATTTGAACAATTAACTAAGGAATTACCTCAAAGAGAAAGTCCACAAATAGAACATATGATAGATGACATTTTATATCAGACAACAATTACCCGTTTTGCAGAACAGATGCTTCGGGGCCATGGTTTCCATTGCCATATGAAATTTTCTCCCTCACATTTGTCATATTTATTGTCCCTGACTAGACAAAAGACACTCGCATGTTTGCGAGACCTTTGTCGGCGATATTACACCACTTCGCCCTCTTGTACGAGAGAGTAAGACTCAGCTAATGCTCGTGTCACCGTGCCAGTCTTAGACACAGCAGGAGCTAAAAATGGACAGATAAGCAAGGGGGTGGGGAAAGACGCAACAAAAAAAGAGAAGCGAGAGAGAGGTCCCCTGCTTCTACACCATCCTGTTTTCACAGATTAGCTTTTTATTGATCTACCTCTCACCTGCTCCCTCTCTCTATTTCTCCCGTACACGCAGACATGCTCTCTTTGAGCGCAGCTACCTACTGGTGGCAGCGGCCCTGCATTTTTAACATCTACACGCGTTCACACACACATATGCTAACACATTTTTCCTTTTCATCTGTGTGTATTCCTCTCTGCCAGAGCCTTTGTGAGTAGAGAGACTCTAAGAATAGCAGTCAGTCAGATGAACACCTCAGAACGTCTGCTTCCAAAGGAGTTTCGCCACGTGTGTTTGTGTGTGCGTGCTTGTCTCTGGAGTAAGAGAGACAGCAGAGAAATGAGAACAGACAGCTTTACACGCACCAGTCTCCTTGCATTATATTTGGATAGTAACAACACACATACATACGCACACGTACGCTCAAACAAAACAGATATGCACACACAATGACAGCTTCAGTTTGGAACCTCCGTTCCACCTCCTGGTTGGTGGGCAGGGGTTGCGTTTCCATAGTAACAGAAAAAGGGAGCTCCCCAGGCCCCTCCTATGTGCACAAGTGCTGTAAGTTCACCACGGACACAAACGTGTAAATATTTTCTCGCACTGGTGAGATGTTTTTTGTTAATAACCCAAAAAAGACAAATAATATGCTGTGAATTACAAAACCGCAATTACGATATGACATTTATGTGGGTATTGCGAAGTATACACAAACGCTAAAGCGAACCAGTCGCAATTTTCCAAAATGTCAAAAATAACTTTTAAAGCACCTTAATAAAAGGGTCAGATGACCCAGAAACGACCTGCTGGTTTCCTGTGACCAGGCACGGCTCACTTCCTGTTCTGAAGCTGGGTGAAAATGTCTGATTCGGGGATGAGTCACGCAGTGCTTGCCCTTTATAGAACATATGCACAGGGGCGCAACTGCACATTTGCTGAGGGGTATGCAAGATCAGTGTTGGTGCCCCTTAAAATCACTATTATAACATTTAAAAATCTCTTTTTTTTTTCAAAGTTCAGCATTGTTTTGTATTGAAGTATGAAGTAGCAAGAGTTTTCAACTCATTTAATCTACTTGAATTTCACAGTTGGCCTATTTTGAATTTACAACGTCAATTTACAGTGAAAAGTGGCTAGTTTGTATCCTTGTTTTCAATCCTAGTTTCTCTCAAATGTAAATCAAATACCCATTCACAAACATGCGTTCCATGGCTCATTTGGTACATGTAGCAACCTTTTCCGCGCTTGTTTGACTCGCGCACTGAGGGCAAGCTGAAGTGCGTGTCTGAAGTCTCCCGTTTGTTGTGGTCGCAAAGAGATACGGCCGTTCCGCGTCTTAAGTCCTTAATAAATACATTT